TATCAGGCAACCCAACTGACTGTAGCACCAAACACAGAAAGTGAGAAAAATAACTAGAAACATTGTAGTGACTCACAGCTTCATTAACAAGCTTAGCTTTTTCTTAAGTCAGAATTTTAACGAAGTAAGCAGGCTACAGAGGCATTTTATAAACACACATTTTTAAGGTATTAGGAGGCATTTGGCTCCTAATTCTCTTCATTTCAGTGTGCTTTACATTACTTGTGGGCTGCAAGGGAAAACTAGTTCCGTGCACCACAGTGTAGCTAGTTTCCTTTCTAGTTTTGAACTATAGAAATAGCCATATTATAAGAGCAAAGGTCTAGCGCTCTCTCTGTTCTTCAGGAGTAACCAGAATAGGGCTAAAAAAAAAAAGGGGGGGGGGGGGGAAGAAGGGCAGTGAAATAGAGTACAGGCAGTCTTTTCCCTTCTTATACCGTGTGCAATTGTTAAAGATCTCTTGATTCAGAGGTTGCATCCAGGCCATCACTTTTAATAAGAACTTATCAGTCCTTCATCGATTTTTCAATCTGTTTAGGCTTCTGCTATCCATAACACCCTTTGGCAATGAGTTTCACATAGTAACTGCTGCTTGACAGAGAGCCTCCTCTTTGCCTGCTTTGAATCAGTTTAGTTAACACAAGAACCATGAAGAGTAACTCTCTACTCCCCTTCCCCACCCCATTCATAAGTGTAAAACATCTGCAATTTCTGTAATAAGTCATCTCTTCTCTATGGCAAAGAGAGAAATCACGTTGACTGACTTGAGACCCATCTTTGATGGTCGTCTCTGGACCTTCCCTAGTCCTCCACTACCTTCGAGAGGAGGTAATCAGAACTGCATAGTGTTTAAGATACTGGCACACTGAATTTACATAGCAGCATACTGATGGTTTCTGTTTGGTTTACCAGCTTGGTTAAACATCCAAAGAGTTTGTTGATTCTTCAGGGAGCGTAGCATTTCCTCCCAGTTGGCCATTAGTTTCTTCACAAGAACTTTTTGGGGACTTGCTTCAGATGGTGCTCTTAAGTAGTCTGCTGAGGTGACAGGTGAAATTTTTCATCTCCCAATAACTGCTGGCACAGACCTCTCAATTTTTTTACCCAATTCAAGCCAGTGAAACTCACAGCTTTTAAATCCCTGCCATTTTCCCACCTCAGAGCCTTCCCAAAAGCATGGCAGTTTGCAGCTGCTCAAAGATCACGTATACTTTCTTTCACATGTACACCCAGTGAGAAGTCCCACAAGCCAGAGAAGCAGAAAGTACATGATTCTCCCCAACAAGCCAGGAGGAGCATTGTTGCATTAAAATCTATACTGAACAACCAAGGAAACTTTCTTAAGCTCATCCCAGTGAATATCACAGTCTTAAGAAATTTCCCAGGCATCCCATATAATGAGTGACTGTCCTGAAGGATCAATCAGACTTGGTACTGTGATGCACAATTCACTACCCTGCCTCGTGAGCCCCTGCTAATCCCAAGAGACGCTTCACCAAATGTAGCTGCTCCGTATAATTGCTTGGCTTATCTCCCCTCTCTTAGTTGAACTACCATGGTTCCAAAAGCCCTTAAAATTAATTATAGATATGCTTGCAGATTAAAATCCATCTACCTGTGTAATGCTATGTGCATCACTTGTTCATAACAGCACTGTCAGTCACAGTGCTCAGCTGCAGTTTCTCTATGCTTCTTAGTAGCAGCTCAAATACTGCCAAATTAGTGAACGCTGTGAGAAACATCAGAGCAGTTTGTTTGACCCCAATTTCAGAATTCCTGGGAAGCAGTTGTAACAGACCATGAGAAAGATAACACAAAACAAAGTTATGAGCTGAAACACTGCATCTCAGCATACCTGACCAGAAAACTGAGCAGGTAATTTAAGCAAACAGACTCCTGTGAATATGCGGTTAACAAAAGTAGCTCAAGACAGCTTAACAAAATAATAGCACAGACACATTTTACTTCTATAGTTACAAACCTCTGAATTTGAATGAGCAAGCTATAGAAATAACAACCTTTGTACATCAACAAAACTCTACTACTACCCACGAGCATAAGATAGCATGCAAAAGCTAGGCAAATAATATAAGCCAGTTCAGCATATTGAAATCTAAACCTTCCTTCTGGATATCTCATTTTCTGAACATTTTGTGTTCAGTGCCTGCAAAAATAACACTGGGTATGTTAAGTGCTGGGGAGAAGAGTCCGTTTCCTTCTGTTTCCTAAGGAAACTAATGTGGGATAGAACATCACTTTCACTCAATAGGATGAGAAATTCCACCAAATCCCTTGCTGAAGCTCTGACATAAAGGCAATTCAGAAAGTCGGCCAGAGACCTGCCCACACCCATCACCATTACTTTCCAAGACTGGAATGAGAAAAAGTTGTGTTTAAGTTTTGCACTCAGCCTCAAATGTTAGTCACCTCAATTTTCTCTTTTGAAATATATACACTATATACACACACACTGCGTATTTATACGCACACACAAATCGCTTCTGGTATTTATTCTGAAATCCCTAGTCTGACTGTTCTTGAAGTGCTGAATCTAATAGATCGCTTCCCCAGTTAATTTACCCCCTGTATTATAAAATGCTGCCATCCAACGAGGGATCAGAACCAGCTAGGAACTTGAATACAGAAAACACAACAGTCTGCTCACAATGAGCAGAAAAATTATCATTGTAAAGCAGTTTACAAAAAGTGTCTTAAACACTATTACAAGAAAGTAGCAATCTATTCAGAGTACACCAGGCAGGAAAAAAAATTTGAGTGACAGGGCTAGTTACTTGCTGCTGTCCGGGATGGTGTGCACAAACAGGTAAGGAAGCAGTTAGTATCTCCTGCCTCACACCGAACTCCTGTCGAGGCCTCAAGCTGCAAAAAGTCAGCACATACTGTTTGCTCACATCCCCTTTCTTTGGTAACCAATTGAGAACATGTTACTTAGCTTTAGCAGGAGCCAAGAAAATGCATTTCTTCTTAGTCTAAAAACATCTAGTTCCAGCTCAACTGGTTTCAAAGAAGATTTAGCTGAGATGAATGAGGATGCCTTCCTTGAGATAGATGTTCTGGCCTCTTGTGGGCATAACTCTCCCAGCAGGACTTGGCGATTTATAATGTTATTGCAGAAAATGCATTTAAGCTCAGTTGTGTTAATATGGTCCTCTCCCAGTTGAGACTAGAGGATCGCTGTTCACCTGGTATCTTCCACATTTATCCTGCCATTGTTCCACAAGCAGAACTATTACTGGTGAGGAAAAGTTACCCATAGTAAGGGAATGGGCTCTTCTTCTAAGCCACAGAAAGGGGACAATGGGTGAATTTACTTTGCAGTTTGAGAAGAGTACTTCTTATCATCTAGGACATTTGCATAAAACAGCTTCCTCAGCTCTTGGTTTAATGAATAAAGGAATCACATCTTTCAATGTATGTTGCAAATAACCACAAAGATTTGCCATCTGAAACAGCTATACATGGCGCTCTCTCCATACCCACCATCTACAAGTAAACATTTCTCAAGTGTTCATTTGGGAGACCTGAAAGTGGGCAGAGCTCAATGCCTAGCAAGTTGACTCTTCAAGGAAAAATTTGGACAACAGAATGCTGAAAGTCTTGGAGATACTTTGCAGTGGCTTCACTATGTTCAGTTTTTCCTCAAACAAATGTTCTTAAGATTTTCTAGCAAGCTGGTAATTTTCCTGCTGTATCAAATTTCTTGATACCTACTTGGGAGAAAGTTTAGTTGATACATTAGCATTTGCATGGCATATTTCTTTGTGCTGTGAAAAAAGTCAAGTGAAGGGGAGAAGAAATTTGCCCCAAAGTCACAATGGCAGCTGCAGAGCTGAGGGAGGATCCCCATCCTCACTCCCTCAGCTCCTTGTCATTTTACAACTAAAGAAAAGCATAGCCAACAGGCAGTTAGATGAATGACAAACCTACACAGCAGTCTGGCTTCAACCGCGTGAACTAAAGCTGCTTTTTACAGTCAGTAGCAGAATCACATCCATCTCCTCTCAGGGGCAAGCCCTGAGAGCCGCCTAGCAGGCATACACTGGTGATACACTATACCCCATGATCTATCCATGGGGTTAGGCAGAGAGTAGTATCCAAGGTACCTATCATGGCAACATCTAAATGTGAGTATCAGAGCACTTTACAGACAAAAAGGTCTTTTCCCCAGGCTATTTAAAATTTGCATGTTCCTGTGTAGTACTGAAGATAGCAGCAATGGTGATTCATTAAGATAATGATTTGAGTAGGAGGCTTAAGAAAGTCAGGGTGGATTAACATCCAAAGGGCTGCAGTTGGAGCTTCTCCACTCCAGGTTGCCACCTTCCCTTTTAAGGGAAGGGATGAATTCCAAAAGTCAGGAGAACTATGAATTAACAGCAACTATATCACAACTACAATGCACAGGAGCACCATCTCTACTCCAGCCCATCATCCTTGGCAAGGTCAAGCACAAAATTTTATGCTGCAGGAAAATTTTCATGGCATTATAAATTATTGGCTTTTCCTTTATTTGATTAGTTTGTTAGTGTAGGTTCTTCTCAGAAAAAGATTGTGCAAATTTGTTTTAAACAAATTTTCTGTCCACCTTAGAAACAATACAAGTTTTCCTCCAACCAATTGTCTTTCCCCACTACTGAATAATCAGATGGGTTTGATAAATTAATTGCTCCCCACATAATAATGTAAATATACACACTGAAAAAAAAGCACACAAGTCCTTTCCACACCCCAACATTTAATCAAATCATAATCAGTTACGAGTTGAAACATGCATTCTATCCGTAATGTGGGGTTAACGCTCAGCCAGTAACAGGCAGCTCATGCTTCATCCCTGCTAAGAGAGAGGCCTTTGTACAGTCATTTTGATATAATACTTTCTGTTGCTTTCTAGAGAGATGCACAGGCAACCAGTTTTGCTATTCTTCTGCTCACTCATAATAGTTGCAATAGGGCATCCCGGTGTATATTGCCCCACTCACCGCTAGCTGTGCTTGGTCTGAACGTCTTCTAGGCACTCTATCCCATGCTGATTCAGTACAGAATAGCTTCCTAGAATGCAATTACAGAAAGAGTAAGGGTTTGTCTTAAAAAGGGATTATTCCAGAACAGCTATTCCTTATTAACTATTCCCAATCACCTCTTTGTTAGGATAATGAAGTTATTTGGGAATAGGTCTTCCGCTCAGATTTGTAACTTACCTTGGTCTGAATCAATAACCCTGTTTAGATGAGCCCTTAGTACAGCATCATACAATCATAGCAATGGCTTCATCAATAAAAATGAACTCATAGTTGCAATGAAAGTAGAGCTGCTGCGTGGAAACATCTCAGCTGAGTTTGTTGTAAGTTGGGCAGATAACAGGATCAAGAAATATGTAAAAAAACAGTTGTTCCTATAATGTTAGAGCTCGTCAGTACTGCATGTGACATTTTGTACTTTACAAGTCTCTGGATCTGCTTTGTTCAAACGTGGTTTATCCTTAAATATATGGAGACCTTAGCAGCAGGGAAATTTTGAGTTCTGTAGCTAGCAGCAGGGAAATTTTGAGTACTGTAGCTTCTTTGTTTTATTAAGTTCTTAGCTTGCAAGATTTCTCATCCAAAAAGGGCTGAGAAAGTACCTGGCACATCTTGGATGCTTATTGAATACATTAAATAAATCAAACGTTTTATGATAAAATTCCACTCCCCCACACCAAACAGATGTAGGTGCAAGTCAAAGAGGCTTGAAAAATCGCACTAAAATTGATTTTGCTCCAGTTTTCCCCAAAGGAAAAAAAAAATTGTGTGTGGGTTGAGACAAAAACATGGAAAATTTCAGCTATCATGAACAACTGAAAAGAGAAATGGAGAAAAGACAGAAGCCAAAACTGAACTTCACATTCAGAGTGCATAACTTGTATTCTCTACAGTGTTCTGTATTACAGGCATTCCTGGACTTAAACGTAAAGTGAAAGTCTTTTCCTTGGGCTCATCACACTTATAGAGAAAAATGCCAGATAGCTTAATGCTGGAGTCTTTTAGCTACTCAGGGGAAATCACAGACCATACAGAAGGTTCTTTGGTTGATTTCAGATTCTGAGAGGCTAGAAAAGATAGGACCCAACATAACTGAGGATGTCTGTCACAAAACTAGGGGGAGAGTTACTTGTAGATACTTGTCAAGTCCTGCAGCACAAAAATCTGAGAAAAATCTTGAACACCTGCAACTTAAAATATATACAAAGCCATGTCATGTTGCACGCGTTATAGGGAGGGAACAGAATCAAAACATACTCTGTTAAGGTTGCTTCTAGGCTGTTAGAGTATGACTTGATTTGGTATACCTGACTGTTAAACGTCACCATCTACATGATTTTCCATGCCTGATGTCTGTGCCCAGGCAGTTGCGTTTTGGTGAGGGGCATAGGGCAGAAAGTTTCAGTGGACATAGTTCAGCCATTTCCAAGGATGATACTGGCATCTCAAAGGAGCTCTCTGACAAAGACAGACACAGAACTCAGTATTTCAGGGCAGCATTCAACTGCTAGACCCGCAAGACCGTTTCTTGTGTCCCTGCAGCTCCTTATTCATACCACACCTCCCACATTCACACTGACAAAGCTGGTCCATCCCATACACAGAGTGAATCAGGGATCCTGTGTCAAAAAATAGCAGGTGATCCAGCCTGCCATTACTTAATCGCAGTATCTGTGTAACTACCAGTCTCCCTTTGCACATAGGCAATCTTAGTCCATGTATGTAATATTTTATAAGCAACTTTTATGGATTCTTTTCCCCATAGGAGAGGAAGTTAAGAGACATGATAGAAAGGGGAAAGGGCAATTACAAATATATGCAAGTCAAATCAGGGAGAAAAAAAAAAGAAACTGAAACCACTTCCAGTCTCTCTGTCCAACAAATTCCACACTCTCATGGTCTCTGGCACGACTTCACAGTAAACCCAAAAGATGTTCACCTGCTCCCACAGCACTAAGAAACAGTGAAACAGGAACAAGAAGCTCCCACCTAGGATGACCAACGTAATCCCCCAACAGCGCATCACAGAGGGAAAACCTTATCATTAAAGCAAAAGAAAAACAAACACACATGCACACACATACAGCTCTACTGCTGTGCGCTATTAGCATCCTCCCCATTTTCTGTATGCATCTAATATCAGGAGATTTATATTCAGGCCAAAAGCTCATGCTGGCAGGAGAGGAAAGTACTTTGGAGAAGAGAGGGGAAGGGGGGGGAAAAAAAAAGCCTACGGTTTCTTGGCTTGTGATCAGCAGGCTGGATGCATTCTGTGGAACTAGGCCAAAGCGTTAGTTATTATATTCAAGAGAACATCTGAATCCCAGCTCAAGGGAGCCGAGTTTGCGGCTCTCATTTATGCTGTATATCAATTGAATATCAAACCACATTTTCCGCCTTCTGAATAATAAAGCTTAATAGTTTGGGACTCCCATATGGTCTATTTTTAAAATATTTCCAAACACTGGCTGCTGTTTCATTTCTGAAAGAAAGATTTCTCTTTCCTCTTCAAGCTTACTTGTTTAAAAGATGCTTGTAGCAAAAGCTAAATATATTCATCTTTTAAATATTTCCAGAGTTTTAAGAGGGGCTGAAAAATGAGGGGATAAGGAAAAGCAAATACATTTTGAAATTGGCTTTTTTTTTTTAATGTCACATGCAAATGTTTGTTCCAGGCAGAAGCAGCTGGTGCCACCAGGCTCTGCTGTTCAGAACAGGGGGTGCAGAAGCTTTCAGAAACCATGAGCTGCTCTAACAAAGGACGACCACACAGACTCAAACCATTCACAAAAGGACCCAGGCCGATTATTTGACTATTACTTACAAGGAAGCTTGGCCAGTAACGTAGGCAATAAATACTGGAGAAACCTGTTCTGTGCATAACCCAGGTTTGTCTTTTCACAAGTCCTGCTCTCTAATTAGCTACTCATTCCTGGAGGGCATTGCTGATGGATGGAGTGTATCAATTTGGTATATTTAAAAAAAAAAGTTAGGAAACTTGTTAAATAATAAAAGCATCAGCATAATGAACACTCTGCAGCGTGTTAGGAACAGTCACTAGTGCTCCTTCCCAGTCACAACAGAAAAGAGTATTCCTGTTCTTTCTACTCTGCAGAAAAAGACTTGGTGGCAGAGAGATTCTCTAACTTGCAAGGGCTGCAGCACCCTGCTCAGAGCCTGAGTGGGAACTGAGAAATACTCATCTTTTGGTCCTGCATTCACCCCCATTCGATTAGCACGGAAGGACTCAACCGCTCAGTGAGCAGAAGTGAAACCACGCAGCACTGCCTAGTTGTGCATGGGTATGAACCTCCAGCTCCACCTCACCCAGCTCTTGCCCTCTCTACGAAGTGCTTCAAGCTCTCTCTGACAGGAGCTCTCAGTGTGGCACCAGCTTGCATGTCTGCTGGTCACTCAGCAAAACAGAAGGTGCTGAGCTAGGCACGGCCAACAGCATAACACAGCACAAAAATGTAGCAGTTCCTACGGCCCAGGGAGCCAAGCAGAAACTTCTGCTCTCTCCTCCTTACTCTTCTATTCTAGCCCTCATTGCTGCTTCTCATTCCTGTCTCCTATTTCCCTCCTTCTGCCTGTCTGTTCCCCTCCCCTCCATCACCTATCTGCCCCACCATCACCTGCTCTGCTCCAGTGTACAGGTCTTCAGAGTCAGCTGTCCTAACCCTGAAACTGGTTGCTCATACTCATCAGCTGCCTCCTCCTCAGAAAGGAAGAAATTCCAGTATTTCAACATTCGCTGTCATCCCAATTCAGGGAGAAAAAACTGAAATTAGAGACTCTTTGTAGAGCGGAAGTTCAGGAACAGTATTCAGTATTTCAACATTCGCTGTCATCCCAATTCAGGGAGAAAAATTAGAGACTCTTTGTAGAGCGGAAGTTCACAAGTTTAAAAAAAAAAAAAAAAAAAAAAAAAAACAAAATTTAAAAAAAAAAAAAAAAAAAAGAGACAACAAAAAAACCCCCACCCTATTTGTGAACACCAGTGCATTTTGTGTCATTTGAAATGGAATATTTTTACATTACTGAAACCAAAGTTGGTTCATTTTGGTTTGGTGACCTGACCTGAGAAATTTTGTTCTGAGTCAGTACACTATTGAACTGCTTTTATTCCCACAATGTTGCATTGCCTCAGACACGGCAGTTTGGCAGCCTGATAACCCTGGTCTCACTTCTGGGTCAGACTCCCTGGCTGGAAGGTAGTCCCATAGCACACACCGAGGTGTCCTGTGGCACAGCACTGTCTCCAGGAGAGCTGTAATGCCATATGGGAACGCCAAGGCCCTTGCAGTCCAGCAGAAGACGATGAGTACATCAGACAACAGCTCTCTAAGCAGCCAAGAACTACCTGGAATCCAACACAATGTTTTGAACCAATTCTGAGTGAAGCCTTTCAGACCAGTTAAAGAAAATCAAAGCAAAGAGGTATTCCCATCCAGGTAGTATAGACAGTTCAATGTAATATTTCTGGTAAAAAGCTAGTTTATTAATTTTACAGGTGATCAGAAATCTAGAATTGGGCTTCTCTAGGAAAAAAAGGTTCTATTTTAAAGAAAGTGCGTTTTTCCCAAAAAAAGCCACTTCAAAGAAAAACTCAAATCAGGCTCCTACTGACCACAACAGCATTCTTACAAACGGTCTTAAAAATAATCCAGTGAACGAAGCTCACTCTTACAGAGATTTTCCCAGCAGGGAACTTAAGTTATAGCAATATCAGCACCCCTCTGCCTCCTACAGAGCTCCTGTTGTGACCCAAGGACTGTAGGACTGAGTTCATCAACCGAGTGTAACGACTAGTTTAGAGAGAGTCTGACAAGTATTGAACTGGAGTTTTTGCAACAGATGTCTGAATGGTCGATCCCTTGCTGCTTCTAGCCGAGGCATGGACACGGCTTTTACAATAGTTGGGTAGAAGCAAGTGCTGGTGGAGGTGCTGAAAGCTCCGAGTTCCGCCCCAAACTTTAGAGGTGCCACCAACTCATGCTCAACAAACAGCTCTTAAAGCAAGTGGAGAGGT